AAGCCCAAGGCTTGGGGGGAGTCCAGTCTCAGCTGTTACACGTGGTAAAGAAACTTTCTTTGAAGAGTCAAGGAATATGGATGAGTCTGGGAATAACGGAATGGAGGATTTTATGAGTCACAGAGAGCTTGAAGGAAGAAGGAATGGGGATATAAATCAGGAGAAAAGAACTACAGAGAAAGGGAAATAGAAGGGATCATGGGTGGGGCTTACTTCCAGCAGCAGCAGAAGCAAGCCCTATTTGGACTTAGATTTTTCTGGCCACAGCTTTAAGCAGATAACAAATCCCCACTTGTTTTTGGAAGTGGGGATAAACTCATGTTTATCTGCTGCCTTGAAGGGGGAGGATGGATTATCCTTAAGAGAAGAGAGGAGAGAGCAGAGGAGAGAAAACAGCTACAAAGGAAAGAAAGAGAAAGATAATTTTTTTTTTTTTGGACAATGCCCCGAGCTAGTGGGAGACGTGAGGATAAGTGAATATACAGGCCTCAGAGAGAAGGACAAGGCTTTCATCAAAACACAGGAAAGGAAAAGAATGAAAGTATCAGTCATCTCAGTTTAGACTGTGCCATCCTAACAATTTCCAAATCTCAGTGGCTTAAAATAAGCAAAGTTTTTCCTTGTTTGTGCGACATATTCATCATTGGCCGGCAAGGAACACAGGCCGACAGTCAACCACCATCTGGAAAGTTGTGTCCCTGAGCCAAAAGAAAGAGCTCTGGAGGGTCTCATGTTGGAGAATGTGGCTTGGATGTTTCCCTCATAACTCTCTCTCTCTCTCACACACACAGCACGACCATAACTGCCAGGGGCCAGATGAATGCAAGGTGAAGAATTGGAATTTATTTGAACAGTACTCAGGACCTCTATGGCATTTTTATCTCAGATGAGCTTTATGCCAAAGAATTGATGTTTTCTATTTGTGGTGCTGGAGAAGACTCTTGAGAGTCCCTTGGACAACAAGGAGATCAAAACAGTCAATCCTAAAGGAAATCAACCCTGAATATTTATTGGAAGGACTGATGCTGAAGCTGAAACTCCAACACTTTCTCCACCTGATGCAAAGAGCTGATTCACTGGAAAAGACCCTGCTGTTGGGAAAGGGTGAGGGTAAAAGGAGAAGAGGGCAGCAGAGGATGAGATAGCATCACTGACTCAATGAACATGAATCTGAACAAACTCTGGGAGATAGTGGAGGACAGGGGAGCTTGGAGTGCTGCTGTCCATGGGGTTGCTGAGTTGGATATGACTGAGCAATTGAACAACAAAAAGAAGTCACACAGAAACCCAGGGCTGGAAACCTCAGAGACAAGCCAATACTTGCCCAAGATCACAGAGAGCGGCAGTGGGCCACTGGGAGCCAGGTCTTCTGTCCTCCAGCCCCTGGATTCTGAGCTTTTATTTTTGGCAAGGTTAGAAACACTTGACTCACCTCCCTTCACCTGGAGTCAGACTTTCACTCATGCTCCCCACACACCCTGCCTCAGAGCTGAATGTGTCCTTGGCTATTGCCAGTACTTCTGTAGTGTCCACTAGAATTAAATTTTCTTTCTTCCCTGGGGCCATCTCAGCTGATGAAACCAGCTGATGAAAGCCTCTGTAGCATGACTTTTTGATCTCCCCAGCCTGATTGTGATCAAGTAGCACCAGTAGACTTTGAACATTCTGCACCTCTCATCAGATGTTCTGTTACGAAATACCATGTGTATCTCCTCCTGAATGCCTCTCCAGACCTCCATGTTCCCACAGCTGTCATGCTTCTTTCTGTAATAGCGCTTTGATAAAAAAGATCACTTGTCACATCTGAGCAAAGATAGGTCCTAGCTTCAGGGGTCTTCTGGTAGCAGGAACCTGTTCAAGGACCCCAACAAGCCTTTTTGCACAGCTGTCCATGACTTACCTCTGAACAGCCTGGGGCCCAGGAGAGACATATGGATCCATGGTAAAAATTCTGGCAACCCTAGTTAGACTCAGTGTAATATACAGCCCTAACAAGACTGCCTTTCAGGATGGCTTCTTACCATTCTTTGCTTAGAAAAAGCAAGATTGAATTGCTCCAGTTGCTAGCAAGCCAGGACTGATTTCAGCAAACAGAGAAATTGGGAATTATTGGCTGCACTGTAACTGTTAGTGAGATCACAAGAAAGATAAATTAAGGAGTGAAAATAATCTAGGACAATTCTCAAACTTCTGGGTATGTAAGAAACCACCTGTGACTTCATAGTTCAGTGAACAAAATTCAGTCTTAAAAAAAAGAATGCAGGCCTGGACGTTGGCTAGGGTTAACTCCCAAACTATAGTTTTAGGTGGAAAAAAAAAAAGTCAAAGGAGTCATAGATCAGTGTGTTCTTATTTATGCAAAATAAAAAGGTTGGAGAGAGCTATATGTATGTATGTTTAGACACACACATTTGGAAAGCTATACAAGGCTGAGAAAGACTAAAGCAGAAGGGGATGACAGAGGATGAGATGGTTGGATGGCATCACTGACTCAATGGACAGAAGTTTGAGCAAGCTCTGGGATTTGGTAATGGACAGGGAAGCCTGGAGTGCTGCAGTCTATGGAGTTGCAAAGAGTCAGACATGACTGAGCGACTGAACTGAACTGACTGATAAGACACTGGTGAATGGTCATCTTCGAGGGGGACTGGGAAGCTAAGGAGAGGGTCACTTTTCTTTTGAATTCTGTTCCATTTATATCACCTCCTTTAAGTCACCAAATGCAATGTGATGTCCTGGCAGAAAAAAAGTGTCACTGGGAAACCAGTCAAATTAGAATAAGGGGTAGTCTGGTTAGTAGTAAGTGTACATCATTCATGTCCTATTTTTGGCAAATGTACCAAATACAGCTTTTTTGGTGGCTCTTTTTCCTGGTTCTTTATTCATCATGACCACGCTTCCCCATTCCTAGAACTCTGGCTTTTTCTCATGCTATTCCCTGTGTGTGGGATGTTCTCATTCTCTCCTGCTCAGAAGCTGCACCGATCCTTCAACGCCAAATTTACTAGTTACTTGTTCTGAAGTGCTTTCCTTGCCTTCCTTCCCTCAGTGCTCTAAGGCACCGAATCTGGCTGTGACACTAGGTTTACTATCTTTTCATACTTGCCATCAACTGGATTCCCCAGGAATTGGACTTTAAGGTGAAGACTGGAGTGCAGTTAAGTTCTGTAGGATGCAGAATCGTGGGTGCTGAGGGTTAGAGGGCCGACAGTGCTGTCATCTAACAAGGACCTTGAGTAGCCCTGGATTTTGGCCTGTGGGAAGGTGGGGGTCCTAGAACCACCCCCTCCACCCCCTAGAGTGACAACTGCACTCTTCTCAGTCACATGCAGTGACGAACCTTCCCTACGAACCAGGCTTACTGAGAGCCTCAAAAACCGTAAGCAATGATAACATTAAATTTCATTCTTAAAGAAACAAAACGTATTAGTCAATAAAATCTTTCAAGCCTTTGTCTTTCCAAGCAAATGAATACTTTTATTAACATGGTAAATTTTTTTTTTAAACACACGGTAGGGTTTTTGACCTCAAATGCTTGTCAGGTCTGCTACTGAAATGAACTTACAGCTAGACAATTTACGAGTCTTGAAGATACCTAGTCCCTGTCCAGTTTAGGGTCCAAAACAGCCCTTGCTTTTCTTCTCCAGACCTTTAAGAGCCTTTGCAAATATCGCTTTCATTTCATGTCCAGAACCCCCTGAAATGTATCAGGGTATCACAACCATTACATAGAATACGGAGACCTAGCTTGTGTCCTATTCTATGTTCCGTGTGACATAAAGCTGAGTTACCTTTTCCAAGCGAGCTGACCAGACAGGTTACATTGGACAGTGTGCCGCATAAAACTTAAAACTTTGAACAAAATACATTTCTCCTCCTTTGGTCTCACACATAAATCAAAGTCCCCAAACAATAATATCATCCTCCAGCCCTTCTTCTGGTTCATCAGTCCCAGCCAGATCAGCTCCAGTCATAGTCCCAGTTGAAGTCTGGTCCCTTCTTCAGCTTCTTTAGCGATCACTGCATGGAGTCATCTTCCAGAAATAATGTAGTTCCTTCAGGACTTTCAGAGCCGGAGAACCCCAACTCTGAGTCTCATTTGTCACACACAGACCCAAAGTTCCAGGGAGCTATCAGGTCACACAAGAAAGATCAAAGCACCTCAAAACTTAGGAACAACGAAAGCCCAGGAACAAATGTGGCTGCTGCAAGAGCTTACAATCTAGGCCCTAACTCTTGTGAGTGCATTTTCCAAATAAAAGTTACCTCCCAAAACAAAAACATTTAACAGTCAAAACTGAAATTGAGGTCATTAACCACAGACCATAGCAGAAACGTAGTGTAAGTGAGAACAGAGTGTAGATAGAAGGTGGGGTGGGGGGCGGGAGGGGGGAGAAAGAAAGAGAAAACAAAAGGCTCTCTGGTTTCAGCTTCTCCAGGGTGTCAGCCAATCTCCATCAGTTGACCAGAATCCATTGGCTGTAAAGCTAAAGTGAAAGTGGGAAAAGCTCATCATTAACAGGTCAATCTGGACTGGAAAAAAAAACAACCCAGTAACATTATGAATTCAGCCTCGCAGGAAACCATCTCTTCCGGAGGCCATTTGACTCCTTCCAGCAAAATCTGGGACCATCCAACAATGGCCTTCTCTCTGCCAATTCTGTTATTTCTATCCCCCTCTGTTTAATGGCCTATATTGTGATTTTTGTTGTTTATTATCCTAATAGTTATCCCAATGACCGTGTTTTTAGCTTTCAACCACTTACTAAGTCAAAACCAACGAACCGGCTTTCCCCCTAATTGCCAGTTTAAGAGTAAACAAACGGTACGCCCTAACACCCCCTCACGTAAAAACTTGAGTAGGATTCTATTTTGCTCTCCCAAGTCCCCCCCGCCGGGCATCCCGTGTGAACAAACGTCCCCGAGGCCGACCCAACCGTCGGGCAACCGCTGGAACCGCCGTGCCGTCCCCCACCCCCGGCCTTACCGCCGACCGTCCTTCAGGAAGACTCGCTCTTCTCTATCCGCCGCACCAGCTCCACCAGCATCTCTGCCATCTTCGCGATCTCCTTGGCCTTCTCCTCCGCCTTCTCGCACCTTTTGGTCCCCCGGCCCTCGACTCCGTCGTCCGGATTCTGCAGATGGTTGAGCGCGCTCTCCTCCGAGGCCTCCACCTGCGTCTTTATCTGGATGAGCATATTGTCCATCTCCCACAGCTTGCTCCGGTTCCGCAAGTAGGCCCGCCCGTGCTCGCGGGACAGCGCCGCGATGTCCTCGCGCATCTCGTTGATGACCGGCAGCAGGAACTGCTCGAAGTCCTCCTCAGGCTCCAGCACCTCCACCTCCTCCGGCTCCGCCAGCTCTACGATGTCCAAGGGCCGCATCTTCCCCGCTCTTCCCGAACCACAGGACGCGAGGCGGCTGCAGAGAGAAAATGGAGACCCGCGGGGCTTACCAACACACTTCCAGAATATTCTTTAAAACTTTCACCCCTTTTAAACTTTTCGCCTCACAGAAGCCACGGAAGACGAGCGACTTACGAGCAGAGAAGCGGAGGACAAAATGGAGGCTCAGCCGTCAACCAGCGCCCTGAGTGTTGCTGCCCCTTTCACGACACCGCCGTGCCTCTTTACGGTCGTGCCGCTGGGGGAACTAGCTGCGGGCTCGCGCACGTCAGTAGAGGGCGACGCAATCCGCTTTAGCGCGGCCGCAAGCGCGCACGCCCAAGCTCTCTCTCCCGCTTCGCCTCCGGGCTGCGTCCTTTTGTCCCACACGCACGCGCAGGTGCGCACGCACGAGCTCCCTTCTCTCCCTCCCCGTTCACCCCGTGCCGCGCGCCGCTGCTAACCCACGCAGCGCGCACGTGCGCTCCCGTCTTCTCCCCGCCATTACCCTCGTGCTGCGCTCGCTTCCGCCACCCACGCAGGGGCAGGCAACACTCCCTCTAGTCTCCCTCCGTTTTCATCCCCAAACCTCCATCCGGCTGCTCCGATGGCTTTGGGCCTGGGTCCAAAGTGTGTCTCCTGACGGACTTCGTGTGTGTGTGTGGTTGTTATTGTTTAGTCCATAAATTGTATTCAACCCTTTTGTGAGCCCCCCCCCCCCCCCACACACACACATTGGACTGTAGCCCGCCAGGCTCCTCTGTCCATGGGATTCTCCAAGCAAGAATACTGGAGTGGGTTGCCATTCCCTTCTCCAGAGGATCCTTCTGACCCAGGGGTTGAAACCCGGTCTCCTGCATTGCAGGCTGATTCTTTACTGTCTGACCACCGGGAAGCCCCTTTTATTCATAATTGCTAAAATTTGGAAGCGACCAAGGTAGCCTTCAAAAGGTGGATGGAAAAGTGCCGTACATCCAGAGGATGGCATTTAAGTTCAGTTCAGTCGCTCAGTTGTGTCAGACTCTTTGTGACCCCATGAACCGCAGCACCCCAGACCTCCCTCTGTCCATTACCAACTCCCGGAGTTCACCCAAACCCATGTCCATCGAGTTGGTGATGCCATCCAGCCATCTTATCCTCTGTCGTCCCCTTCTCCTCCTGCCCTCAATCTTTCCCAGCATCAGGGTCTTTTCAAATGAGTCAGCTCTTCGCATCAGGTGGCCAAAGTATTGGAGTTTCAGCTTCAGCATCAGTCTTTCCAATGAACACTCAGGACTGATTTCCTTTAGGATGGACTGGTTGGATCTCCCTGTAATCCAAGGAACTCGAATCTTCTCCAACACCACAGTTCAAAGGCATCAAGTCTTTAGCGCTCAGCTTTCTTCACAGTCCAACTCTCACATCCATACATGACCACTGGAAAAAACCATAGCCTTGACTAGACAGACCTTTGTTGGCAAAGTAATGTCTCTGCTTTTCAATATGCTAAGTTGGTCATAACTTTCCTTCCAAGGAGTAAGCATCTTTTAATTTCATGGCTGCAATCACCATCTGCAGTGATTTTGGAGCCCAGAAAAATAAAGTCAGTCACTGTTTCCCCATCTATTTGCCATGAAGTGATGGGACCAGATGCCATGATCTTTGTTTTCTGAATGTTGAACTTTAAGCCTTTTTCACTCTCCTCTTTCACCTTCATCAAGAGGCTCTGTAGTTCATCTTCACTTTCTGTCATAAGGGTGGTGTCATCTGCATATATGAGGTTATTGATATTTCTCCTGGCAATCTTGACTCCAGCCTGTGCTTCCTCCAGCCCAGGGTTTCTCATGATGTACTCTGCATAAAAGTTAAATAAGCAGGGTGACAATATACAGTCCTGATGTACTCCTTTTCCTATTTGGAACCAGTCTGTTGCTCCATGTCCAGTTCGAACTGTTGCTTCCTGACCTGCATACAGGTTTCTCAAAAGGCAGGTCAGGTGGTCTGGTATTTCCATCTCTTTCAGAATTTTCCACAATTTATTGTGATCCACAGAGTCAAAGGCTTTGGCATAGTCAATAAAGCAGAAATAGCTGTTTTTCTGGACTCTCTTGCTTTTTCGATGATCCAGTGGATGTTGGCAGTTTGATCTCTGATTCCTCTGCCTTTCTAAAACCAGCTTGAACATCTGGAAGTCCACGGTTCACGTATTGCTGAAGCCTGGTATGGAAAATTTTAAGCATTACTTTATTTTTTAAAAAAAGTTTAAATTATGTATTTATTTTACTTTACAACATTGTATTGGTTTTGCTCTACATTGATTTGAATCTGCCATGGGTGTACATGTGTTCCCCATCTGGAACCCCCCTCCCAACTCCCTCCCCATCCCATCCTTCTGGGTCATCCCAGTGTACCAGCCCCACGCATCCTGTGTCATGCATCGAACCTGGACTGGTGATTCATTTCACATATGATAATTTACATGTTTCAATATCATTCTCCCATATCATCCCTCCCTTGCCCTCTCCCACAGAGTCCAAAAGAAATGTTCAATACATCTGTGTCTGTCTTGCTGTCTCACATACAGGGTTATCGTTACCATCTTTCTAAATTCTGTATATGTGCTTTAGTATACTGTATTCGTGTTTTTCTTTCTGGCTTACTTCACTCTGTATAACAGGCTCGAGTTTCATCCACCTCATTAGAACTGATTCAAATGTATTCTTTTTAATGGCTGAGTAATATTCCATTGTGTATATGTACCACAGCTTTCTTATCCATTTGTCTGCTAATGGACATCTAGGTTGCTTCCATGTCCTTGCTATTATAAACAGTGCTGCAATGAACATTGGGGTGCATGTGTCTCTTTCATTTCTGGTTTCCTCAGTGTGTATGCCCAGCAGTGGGATTGCTGGGTCATATGGCAGTTCTATTTCCATTTTTTAAAGGAATCTCCACACTGTTCTCCATAGTGGCTGTACTACTTTGCATTCCCACCAACAGTGTAAGAGGGTTCCCTTTTCTCCACACCCTCTCCAGCATTTATGGTTTGTAGACTTTGGGATAGCAGCCATTCTGATTGGCATGAGATGGTACCTCACTGTGGTTTTGATTTGCATTTCTCTGATAATGAGTGATGTTGAGCACCTTTTCATGTGTTTGTTAGCCATCTGTGTGTCTTCTTTGGAGAAATGTCTGTTTAGTCCTTTGGCCCATTTTTTGATTGGGTCATTTATTTTTCTGGAATTGAGCTGCAGGAGCTTCTTATATATTTTTGAGATTAATTCTTTGTCCATTGCTTCATTTGCTATTATTTTCTCCCATGCTGAAGGCTGTCTTTTCACTTTGCTTGTAGTTTCCTTCATTGTGCAAAAGATTTTAAGTTTAATTAGGTCCCATTTGTTTATTTTTGCTTTTATTTCCAATATTCTGGGAGGTGGGTCATAGAGGATCCTGCTGTGATTTATGTTGGAGAGTGTTTTGCCTATGTTTGCATCTAGGAGTTTTATAGTTTCTGATCTTATGTTTAGATCTTGAATCCATTTAGAGTTTATTTTTGTGTATGGTGTTAGAAAGTATTCTAGTTTCATTCTTTTACAAGTGGTTGACCAGTTTTCCCAGCATCACTTGTTAAAGAGATTGTCTTTTCTCCATTGTATATTCTTGCCTCCTTTGTCAAGGATAAGGTGTCCATAGGTGTGTGGATTTATCTCTGGGCTTTCTATTTTGTTCCGTTGATATATATTTCTGTCTTTGTGCCAGCACCATACTGTCTTGATGACTCTGGCTTTGTAGTAGAGACGGAAGTCAGGTAGGTTGGTTCCTCCAGTTCTGTTCTTCTTTCTCAAGATTGTTTTGGCTATTCAAGGTATTTTGCATTTCCACACAAATTGTGAAATTATTTGTTCTAGTTCTCTGAAAAATACCATTGGTAGCTTGATAGGGATTGCATTGAATCTATAGATTGGTTTGGGTAGTATACTAATTTTCACTATATTGTTTCTTCCAATTCATGAACATGGTATATTTGTCCATCTATTTGTGTCCTCTTTGATTTCTTTCACCAGTGTTTATAGTTTTCTATATATAGGTCTTTTGTTTCTTTAGATAGATATATTCCTAAGTATTTTATTCTTTTCATTGAGATGGTGATTGCAATTGTTTCTTTAATTTCTCTTTCTGTTTCCTCATTGTTAGTGTATAGGAATGCAAGGAATTCCTGTGTGTTAATTTTATATCCTGCAACTTTATTATATTCATTGATTAGCTCTAGTAATTTTCTGGTGGAATCTTTAGGGTTTTCTATGTAGAGGATCATGATTGTGCAAACAGTGAGAGTTTTACTTCTTCTTTTCCAATCTGGATTCCTTTTATTTCTTTTTCTTCTCTGACTGCTGTGGCCAAAACTTCCAAAGCTATGTTGAATAGTAGTGGCGAGAGTGGGCACCCTTATCTTGTTCTTGACTTTAGGGGAAATGCTTTCAATTTTTCCCCACTGAGGATAATGTTTGCTGAGGGTTTGTCATATATAGCTTTTATTATGTTGAAGTATGTTCCTTCTATTCCTGCTTTCTGGAAGGTTTTTTTTTTTTTTATCATAAATGAATGTTGAATTTTGTCAAAGTCTTTCTCTGCATCTATTGAGATAATCATATGGTTTTTATCCTTCAATTTGTTAATGTGGTGTATTACATTGATTTGCAGATATTAAAGAATCCTTGCATCCCTGGGATAAAGCTCACTTGGTCATGATGTATGATCTTTTAAATATGTTGTTGGATTCTGTTTGCTAGGATTTTGTTAAGGATTTTTGCATCTATGTTCATCAGGGATATTGGCTTGTAGTTTTCTTTTTTTGTGGCATCTTTGTCTGGTTTTTGTATTAGGGTGATAGTGGCCTCATAGAATGAGTTTGGAAGTTTACCTTTCTCTGCAATTTTCTGGAAGAGTTTGAGTAGGAGAGGTGTTAGTTATTCTCTAAATTTTTGGTGGCATTTAGCTGTGAAGCCGCCTGGTCCTGGGCTTCTGTTTGCTGGAAGATTTCTGATTACAGTTGCAATTTCCATGCTTGTGATGGGTCTGTTGAGATTTTCTATTTCTTCCTGGTTCAGTTTTGGAAAGTTGTACTTTTATAAGAATTTGTCCATTTCTTCCAAGTTGTCCAGTTTATTTGCATATTGTTGCTGATAATAGTCTCTTATGATCCTTTTTATTTCTGTGTTGTCTGTTGTGATCTCTCCATTTTCATTTCTAATTTTGTTGATTTGATTTTTCTCCCTTTGTATCTTGATGAGTCTGGCTAATGGTTTGTTAACTTTATTTATCTTCTCAAACAACCAGCTTTTGGTTGTGTTGATTTTTGCTATGGTCTCTTTTGTTTGTTTTGCATTTATTTCTGCCCTAATTTTTAAGATTTCTTTCCTTCTACTAACCCTGGGGTTCATAATTTCTTCCTTTTCAAGTTGCTTTAGGTGTAGGGTTAGGTTA